GGGGGGGGGGGGCCTTTATCGCGAGGCCTCGGGTCTTTTTTTGAGAAAAAAAGCGTGAGTGCGAGAGAGGGAAAAAGAAGGATTGATATTTTCATTCCGCCTTCACGCGTGAGGGCGGCTCACTCGCTGGGGTGCAAACGCAACTTGTGGCGATCTCGCGGAGAGAAAAATATGCCGTGCATGTGTCTCTGTATATTTACACGAGGTTTAATGTGTGTTCCCGCACCGAACACCATAACTCGCAGACGTCGCTCATATGCCGCCCCCGCGTGGAAACACTTTGGAATGTTCGTCACGTGCACGATAAGAGATATTTTCCACGTGGAGAGGCATGGGTAGTCGTACGTTTTCCCTGACAACTTGGATGGAATTCCCGTAAATAAATAAATTCCACCACGTGATCGCACGTTTTCTCCCTTAAATCGACGGCCGATAGAACCATTTATAATTCCCACGTGGTCCTTACCGTACTATCTGTCGTGCTTGAAAAAATACCCTCGAAAATTATTTAAAATCTACAAAGGCTGAGTCTTACCGGCTCTGAAGTATTCGTATTGGCCCTCATATACCTTTTCCTCTTCCTCCGCCATGCGTTACGCGTGGCTCTAGAAACCATTTCGTAATTTCAACTTGAACTTGATAAACGGAAGTATGGTAACGACAGTCTATGGAATATTTGAAAAAAAAATTAAATGTGTGAGATCAACTGATGTAAATCGAGAAAAAACAAACAAAGCGATCGTTTACTGAACAAGAAATGATTTGTTCCCTCGGACAATGGCAACTGATGTCCAGGTATGAAGTGTTCTTTCCGGAAGTTGAAAGGAAAATACATGTTAGTACCTGAACTATGCTTAAGGTGCCTTTTCATGCTGACGCTCATTTTTAGCGGCAAAACAGGTCACGTGATCGAAGTTGACGCTAGAGCGGGAAACGCATGAAAAGAGTATAACAGTATCGAACGTTCCCGTTTCGACTTCTACTGAGAAAGAGAAAGGACTTATGTCATTTCAAAGAAAATATTATACGTGGTTAAGAGAATGTACAAAAAAAAATTGAATGTACAAAAAAAAATTAATGAATATAATGAGCAACATATATATATTACTCTTTACGTGTACAATAAGGATAGAATAACGCGGTAGCGCTAAATAGCGTCTCTGCGAACGCACCCTTAGGACCATTAAATTCATCTACGGATGCTTCATAGTCATTGAAATGAACTGAAGATAAACTTAAGACGGTATTATGTATATAAGATCCAACTATAAATACTGACCTATTTTACAAAGAATTTATATTGCACATAATGATTCAACAAAATGAGTTTCTAAAAACAAAAATGGAGATCAATTGTGCGACCTTAGAAAATAAATTCTCTAATTGAGATTCATAGAAACATTCTTAAGCTTTCGAGACTTCTGGCGGGAAACAATAGTCTAATTAACCTAGCAAACATTTACCTATTTATGTATTTTATTATAATCTATGTATATACACGTGTATAATCACTTATAAAAATGATAAGAAAATTACAAATTATATCGTAATCAAAAATTTTACAAAACACATCATACGTAATAAGTTCATAGAATTTTTTTCCTTAAATTGACACAAAGGTTGAAAAAAATATTATATAAAGATACATTTCTTTTGAGTTGCAATATACTTATCTGTATTATGCAAACAACATGTGTTGTTTATAAAAAAACATGAATCACATAATCGATAAAAAGTATGTATTTGTGTTTGTCTTTTATATACAATATCACAAGGATAGACAGATTATTTTTACTAAGTTTTTTTTTAATCTACCATCTCTTCCATCTTTCTTGTTACATTTTATTTCCACAGTCAAGTGGTCTTTAATTTTAACAGTATACATAAGTAAACTTTCCTTTTATTTAGAATGTTGAAATAATTATTAAATCAATGATACATGTTTATGTAGTACTTAATCATTTAGTAAAAACGGGCAGTAAGTTATGATATTCGTATTTTCTATAAATTATATACAAAAATGTAACGATATATGATAATATATGAATAAAATCTACAGAAACTGATGTTACACAGAATCTAAGTGTAACATTTTAATTGCAGAAATAAAGCTATTGTTAAAAAAAAAAAAAACAGTTGGAAATAAAAAAAAACTATATGTCTACGAAAAAGTTAAGTCTACTTATAACATTGTATAAACAATGCTAGTAAAAAATAAACAATGTGTCTCAATTACACTGAGAATCTACGTAAGAAATTTAATATGTCTTTGAAAAGTACTGCTTTTAACGATATTCTCTATACTGACAATCAATTATTCAAAATTATACATATTGACAGTATTGTATTAATCGAAAAATATTGCAACATTACGATTAGGAATTCTTGCAGATCGTTCTTTTCTGAAAAAGAACTGAGAAAACCTAGTTACTTTTATTGTTGCTTAGTACTTGTTTGTACATTAATTACGCACTCTGGATATCGATCGCGTAACTTTTTCCCTAAGACGGAAACATGAAATTTTTTCAAATTAGAAAATTTATACTTTTCACGAATTCACGGTAGAGAAGAAGATTTACGACCCTTTGGGGTTGATCGTGTATCTTTCTTTCTAGCGTGAATTCGTAAAAAGTAAATTTTCTTATTTGAAAACATTTCAATTCCCACGTTTTATGCTCTAGAGGAGAAGTTACGTGATCAATATTCTGATTTAAATTTACGTCAAGTTTGAAATAACTAAGTAAATTATATTTATTTCAAAGTAATGTATTCTTGTAATCTACTAAATATATAAGCAAAATAAAAGGTAAATATAATACCTATAGTCGATATTTGTATTCACTTAACGTGAAAAGATAATTTTGTTCATTTGTATTACAATCATTTTGTATGATTTATCAACGTGACATCATCCAGCAGATCCTATTTGACTCACCCGTGTTATTTAATTTTTATTATTTGGGAACAGGCTGAAACTTTCACCACTCGTTAATATATCCTCTTCGTCGAATATCGATCCATCGTCGGATAAGTCGTGTTCCTTATTCATCAAAATATATTTACTCTGTTTCTTAAGATGGCGCTCTTTTTTATGAGACTTCTTAATGGAAGTTGTGTGTAGGAGTTTCATGAGTTTCAGCGTATTCAAACTGTTTGGAGGCGTTGTACTTAGAGGTTTCAGTTTTTTCGTATCTTCTTTACTTTCGATAATGTTTCCTCGGCTCGTAGACGGCTGTGGATCATAAATGTTGTTCTCGTTGTTCTTCTTGTTGTTCTCATTACGCATACTACTGCACGCTTCTGTTTTGTCACAAAGACTATCATCGTTTGGATTTAGCTTTAAGGACGGAGTTGTATAGTTTTCCGGCGTCTTCGTATAATCGGCGAAATTCATGTCCGCAGTTTCCTTGCCGTCTTCGGATAAATTCTTCCTTGGAATTCGTCTCTTGCGTAGGCTAGCATCGTGCTTGTCTTTCTTGTGCGACTTCTTAATAGAGTCCTTATTGCAAAGCAGTTCTGCCGTCGACATATTAATCGGAGTTAACCTTCCATTCTCATCTGTAGCATCTGCAGCTTTTACCGGTTCATTGTCTGAAACTAAACATACATAATTTTTTAAATTTTTCAATGTGTTAATACATCTGTAGAAATTTCTTCGATGCCAATTTGTACAAACTTACTTTCCCCTGATGACGCTTTGCCTCTACGCATATGATTCTTGAGAGAGAGCAAAATTGACGAAACCCTGTTTCTAATATAAGTGTTAGGTTCATCACCTATATTTTCACATCCCGTAAGTAACGGTTCGGCTAACTGCGGCAAATCATCAGGCTCGTTACTTAGCAAGGACCTGCTCATAAATCTTTTTTTCTTCTTCGATTTATCGGGAGATAATCTTACAGGAAACGAGGCGTTTCTAGATTTTTCGCTGTTTACTTCTGTGAATAGATCATCCGCCAACAAATTAAGAACTTTCCTAAAGGTTTCTTTATCCTCGGCGTCGCATATCGGAATGCCGAAAAGACTTTTATACTTTCTCTTGTCTTCTTTATGTGACTTTTTAACTGATGTAAATTGAGACAATAAGAGTCTACTTGAATTTATGTTTTCAGGTGTGATCGGCCGTTCATTTCTCGGATGAATCATATCATTATTCTGTGTCGTATTTAACTTTTCCGTAGTATCTTGAACATCTGACATTTTGATATTTCTAACAGGTGTTGCTGTTATTATTTCAAAACGTTTTCTCCATATTTCACAATCATCCCATGCTTCATCTTCATCAGATCTCAACGTTATTGGATCATTTATTGAGAATTTTATGCGATGCATTAAGCGACTATACTTTGAGTCTTTAGAAACAGCTGAATTAGGTTCCAGAGATATCTCTTTATTTTCATGTTCTGCTAAATCGATATTATTTGATGATGCCTTTTGCGAATAGGAATCGTTTTCTTTATTGTTATGATTCGATGTTGATGACGTTGATGGTAATGTATCATCAATATCTTGTTTATTTTCTTCGTATATCATACTATCGCTCGAATCGATATTCTTCGGCACAACTCCTTGCTCGGCATAATCAGAAATGGATTCTTTGTCTGAAAGTTCGTCGTCCAAATCATATACGAGCGCCTTCTTGACATTTCTAATCTTCTTCGGAGAATCTTTTACAGTAACCATGCAAGAACTACTACTTGTAAGTATATCGTTTGCTTCTAAGGATTCCACCGGTCTTTTCGCACACGAGCTTTGACTCTTTACAGAATCATCTACTTGCCAATCTTTTCCTCCTAGACTATGCGCTCTCTCCTATTAAAGTACAAATAGTGTAAAGTTTTAAAGCAATAAATATAAAATATCGGCAAAAAGTAGACACATAGATTGTTCCTCTTATGAAATTCAGAATTAATCTCCTTTCAGCACAAATTATACATGTGCAAAGAACAGATTAATTTTTCCATCAAATATTCTCACATTTGCCAGGCTCTTAAGACCTAGGATAAATTTGTCTTTAATTTCAATGACTCATAATTTGAAAAATATTAGTTCGCTATCAGAAACTAACAAACTTGGAGATTTTCATTGCCAAAAAATCTTACTCTTATTTAATGGAATAATGCTGTGTGCTAACTTTTTTGCCAATCGTGACATACTCATTATATAATGATTATAAAAAAGGATGAAATATAATGTAATATTATAATTATGAAATATATTGTATTGACAGATTAATACCTTTTTATGGCTCTTTTTGATACTACTCATGCTCTCTGGAATGAACCGCATCGTATTTATGGGTGTATGCGAGCTGTCCTCTTCGTCTTGATTAAATTCCTTAAACAAATTCCTAGGTGTGCTCGCAGCTATATCACAGCTAGATACTCTCAGTCTGTCGCCTCTTTTAAAACATTGTAATTCTTGTGTTCGCACGTGTGGTACACTTGTGTTACACGTAATCTTATTAATCTTTTCCCTCAAGTTACTTCGAAGCATGGATGTAGAACTGGGTGATCCTGATTTGTTGCTTTTAGTATCGGAAGAACCAATCAGTACCTTGGAAACTAATCGATTTTGCTGTGGAGTTCGATTTTGATTTTCATCAATCGATTCAGAAGATTCGGTCGGTCCACTACTAGTAGAAGTATCAGTCGAATTTCTATTGGGCCCCACAAATTTATCCGGTGTATGTAATGGTGTGTTAACTATTGAATCAACACTAGTGCTCTCCTCGGAACTGTTGCTTTTCTTACTAGGACTAGGACTTGAATCAAATGTCAATGTCCTTTTTATACTTTCATTTGTATAGCGAAACGAATCATGATTCTTGCTGAGTGCTCTCATGATTTGAGCTGATCTGGATAAATCTCGCGGTGACTTGTTTATACTGGAGCGACCGTTGTCCATACTTACATTTGGTGATAGACGACTTAAATTACCTCTTCTTGAAGGATTAATGCCAAAATTCAAGGATCTATTAATTTGGTGTCGAAAATTTTTGCGACCATGTGGGACTAATGAATAGAATGTCCCAGGAAATTCAACTTGATGTTTCAAGTAAACAAATTTTTTGTCAGATGCACTCCCTGTAATCATATCACGTTCAGATTTTAAGTTGCGAGAATTGTCTATTCCCTTATTTTCTCTGCCATCGTTATCCGGTGATTTTAATACCTCACTTTCCAACATAATTGCTCTATATTTTTTTACTTAGGACGTATATATATATATATGTATTCGTAATATATAAATGTAATAATCAGTATATGTTTAAAAATATATGTTCATGTGTATATACACTTATATGTATATAGGAATGTACCAATATCTTTTGAGAAGATTATTGCAGCTGATTTGGCTACAAGTATTGTATAAAAAATATAATTTGTCTTCCTGTAGATTCCTGTAAGAAAAAAAACATCATTTAAAGGACAATGCACAAGTCATACATTATCTATTTATAATCTAAACAGTTTATCATCTATCATGTTTATATCATAATAAAAAATTTGAAGTTATAATATATATAATCAAGAGATTTAGGCTTCTGTGTGATTGATATCACTGTTGTTAATTACTTTTATAAAGATAGAATTTTGCTATGAGTGAAATTAAAGCATGCTCTACAAACTCTGATAGAATGTTTTTATTTTCTTGTTACTCATACACACACACATACACACACATATATACCAACAGACATTATACTACAGATTTACGTATCGGCATATCTACATATCTTCGTAACAATAAAGAAAATTGATTAATTTTTTTATAATATAATTTAATTAATTAAATAATTGAAAAAGTGAGGAAAAAATGAGAGAACAGTTTACACGGGAATAAAGTCGAAAATGCGTCTCGTAAATACATTCGCAAGCGTGCTGTACTCACAAATTGTGCCGCAACAGGTGTGACTTCTAACCTTCGCCAACGTTTGGTAGAAGAGTGATATCCAGGAAGCAGTTTACGTTGGTAGATCACTCAACGTTAGCTCGTATTGTTTCATTATAACATCGTAATCCGTAAATTCTAAGAAATATACGTGGTTTCTCTCGTAATCGAACTCTCACAATAACGTGATGCGTGAAAGAAAGAGATGAAGGAACTAAAAAGCACGCTACGTAGGCTTATTTCATGATGAAGTCGGCTCTTCGTATTATTAGTTAGGTGTCATGTGTCATATATGTGAGAATTTACATTGTCCAATAAGAAAACTTGCTTCCTAGGCATTTTAGCTAGTGATATCGTAGCCACTAGAAAATGAACACTCCTATTGGATGATGAGTGTCCAACAGAAAATGTCGGATAATATGAATTCGTCATGACTTTCTTGCCTCTCCCTTAAGGGAGATCCATCTAGACGAAATTCTTTCCATGACTAAACATACTTATACATACCGGCGCAAACAGGTGGTCTCGATTTTAGGTGTGTTCAAAGAACACATCATTATTACTAATAATGCGCTTCTTGAACGTATCTTTTTGCGTATTTTGCGTTTTCAAAATAACTTCGGATATTATTACTTATAATAAGATTTATTCTTTTTACCTGCACTTCCTACACCTTATTACATTCCCTTCTGCTCCACAGGCACAATAAACTGCAGTTTAAAAGAACGAGACCTAACAATATACTCTATCTTAAAGATGACATTTTGGTATAATTATAAAAATAATGTTACAAAATTCTCGCACGTTTCATAGTTCCGAATAACTCTCAATTTCAAATTGTATTAAAAGTGTACTAAATCGCATTGTACATCTTATGTCCTAGCAGTCAATGAATTTCAGAAAAGTCTTTTCATATCGATTCCGATTTAGCTGGTTATTTTATAACATGCTCTTTTAGAGAATATTCGTTTTGTACTCTAGCGGCAACAATCTCAATCGTTTTAGCAAGATGTCACAAGTCTAATCATGCTTTATCATGACGCGCACGTATTAAAAAAAGTAAGGTTTAAATATGTCTGATGTGAAAACTGACGATATATTCTGCGTTAGTGCGTTGCACTGAAATGGCGAAAGGGTCTGTCGGGTGAAAGGTGAATGCGACCAATCGTCTCGCAGATGTCGGTGCTGTTCTACCTAACATACCGGCATACATTCGAAATTTCAAGAGACCAGAATCACGTGCGTAAAAGCTGTAAAAACAAAGATAAATTGAGCAACGAACACATATTATTTGTACGGCAGATGAATTTTTGTTATTATTATAGAAATACAAACATAAAGTAATTTATACAGACCGTATGGGATGTTCCCCACATGCTTTAGGGCGTTCCAGCATGGATACCCATTTGTCGTCATAGCAAAATAGTGATAAATCAAAATAGGGGGAACTAGAATAAGATTGAGCGCATATAGGTAATTGAGCGAGCAAACGTTTCGTTGCCTCGGTGACGCCACCGAATTTAGCGCTTATTATTGTATATTTAAATCTCTGTTGCAACAATCTAGAAAGAAAAGAACATCTAGATTAACAATAGTTGTGCATGAGTGGATGCCACTATATCTTGTGCAACATACCTGGCATATATGTTATTAGATGGTGAACACATGTACTGGCAATCCGTACTCATTCTGGCATTCCTGAAAAAATCACTGAAGTTTTCAAATTGGGTTAACAGTTGGGTCGACGCATTGTCATAAGCTGCCAGAATTTTAGCTGTAACCATATCGTAAACAACCAACAACGCGGGTTGCGCATTAGGTTCGTTCGCTTGCAACGTAGCCACCTCCTCGCTTGTGTATCGCACTAAAATATGGTCCGTGTCTAACAGCTGCATCTTCCACATTCGTAAGGAATTTAGCTGAAGTATTTTTACTCAATTAATTCTTCACAATTATTAATTAATAACAATTAAGAGCATAGGTTACACAAGGATTAATAGAAGATAGAAGCATTCTTAAACGGTACCTGATCAAAGTATTGATAGAACCTCCTCAATTCGTACGGATCTTTTGTCACATTGCTTATGTATTTTGCCCTTTTATACAAATATACTAATAACTTATGCTTCAAGCTATTTATTGTAGCGTCTCTAAATGGCCTACAATTAGCACCAGGCCATGCGCTGGTAACTAAGTACGCGTCATCTTCCAAGCAAAACCTGATACACATCATTTGTATTATTCAAGACAAATTTTCATTCATATTTACTAATTGGGAATTGTTATTAATTATAGCATTTCCTAGGATAGTTCAATGCCACTTCTTATAAGTACCTTCCTATTGTCCTGACGTTTATAAACATGCCATCGAGGATTTGAAAAATATGTATAGTTTGATGCTGTACAGACAAAACTGCTAATATATCCTTATATAAATAAAGACCTGTGTGTAAAAAGAAATAAGATTTAATCTGGTGGTTTATATAATGATCTCAACTAGTGTGATGATTTCAAACATATGAAAATTATAACATATCGGAACATAAAGATCTCAAGTGATTTCAAACTTGAATACCATTGTTATACCTTGATTATGCGACAGGTAAATTTTATCTACTTTAAAATGTCTAGTATCACACAATTTTCCTCCCCGTAAGTCGATCAGGTGCAAACTATAATCCTCCAGTGGTGATCTTGGATTTGGTGTCAATGCTTCATTATTAGTATAGATCTTGAAGGAACAATATTTTGATTTATTCAGCAAGAACACAAGTGATTTTACAAAAATAGCTGACAATTTGTATGCTTACCTGATAAAAGTGTGGCCTCAAGTCATCAGGAATATGTGCGGCTGAACCCACTATCACATACCGAGCATCGTCTGTGAAAAGACTGCATTCTCTGTTCAATTGCTCGTTGCTTTGTACCACATTTATAATCCACTTCACCTACAAATACGTTTCAGACCTGGTACACCTATTTCAGCCATTTTCTCCATTTTTCATTTTTTTTAATTTGTATAATCTGCAATATAGGCGTACGCTAAAGTTGGTTAGTGTTGAGTACCTTGAAAAATCGCGCGAAGATATTACTTCGTATGTGAAAACTGCAATCGTCGTTCTTGTGGCCGATATATTCGCCTTCGCATTCAGCTATCAAGTCCGCAGCAGCAGAAGCGCCGCAATAATCGTACACCTCGATAGACGTTTGATCCGCGCTAAAGGCTACTAAGTACTTGCCGTCCGGGCTGAATTTACGAAGGAAACACGGTGGCTTCTCCACGTTCATCACAGTAAAGTTAGGAAAAACGTTTTGATAAAATTGCCGCGCGGTATGCACGTGCGTGCCTGGAAAGGGGCAGCCCATCGTTTCCCTACGTCTAAGACGCACCACCACATTTTGCGGGCCGATTTTACGTGGCTTGATGGGACAAGGATCCGTAACGAATTCAATTTTACTTTCCTTCACCGCCATCCTACAATTTCATCGCACGTTGATAACGCCTGAAAGTGATATCCATCGTCGCGGAGAGCAATGCAAAATTTGCGATCGTTGCGTTTGTACGATTGTGCAACGTATCGTCTTTATCAGTTAAAGACACCGTTTGTCTTTGTCGACGTATTGTCCTTATCACTGAAACACTATCTAACGCTGAAGCTGTCGAAATAAAAAAGTCGAGTGGAAAGCGTAAGGTTAGGATTAATCGTGATTGTTAAAATTCCTCCTTATCACATGTAGCTAGAAGACATTTTTGAACGTTAGTTACGCCACGAACGATGGACTAGACGACGTTTAATTCTATTGGTTCCTTTCAACTTGATCTCAAGCCTGCCAATACACCGTACAGTTTCCTCCAATTAGAACCAACTGGAAAATAAATACCCCAATGAGATTCGTGCACCTTGCGCTCACTGGTGTAGGCGGAGGTGCAGGTAGGCGCGATTCACGCAGATGAGTGCATAAAGAAGAGTGTGAACATTTGATGTTCGTGATGAAGGGATTCGTATATTTACTTTTTATCGTCTCAAATTTATGCGAGCAATATGTAACAGCAGAACATGAGGAAGACACGTCTACCGATTTATACGTGATCGAGGGGAAAGTGTTCCCTTGGGATAATGCGGCATCCACCGGATGGCAACTCATGACACACGTAATGGCCAATGGTGGTGAACATTATGGGTTTTTAAGGTTAGACACATACTTTAACAGATGTATCTTATGTCTACGTTCATGCGACAATTGTGTGAGATAACAAATGTAAATGTTATATCATTTTAGAGAGGATGGCACGTTTATAATTACGAATGTACCATCCGGGTCCTACATGGTCGAAGTGGTAAATCCGAATTATGTTTACGAGCCAGTCAGGGTGGAAATTAATTCCAAAGGAAAATTCCGAGCGCGGAAAGTAAATTTGATACAAACGTCACAAGTTATTCAAGTACCTTATCCATTAAAAATGAGGCCTTTAGCACCATTTCGGTATTTCCAAGTTAGGGAACAATGGCGGATGACTGACTTCTTATTCAATCCTATGGTATGGTAGAATTTTTAATGACATATAATATACATATCCTTGAACTTTTTTTCCTTAGCTTTTCTAAATTCTTTTTTTCTCTTTGTAGGTTTTAATGATGGTTTTACCATTGCTAGTAATTATGGTTTTACCAAAAATAATGAATGATCCTGAAACCAGAAAGGTAGTAAAATAAGTAGCTATTTTTCAATCAAAATCATTTCCGAACATGCAACATATATGAGTTGATTGAGAAGTATCCGAAACAACGCATAGATGGCGAAAGTAGTATCAAATTGTTGTCATTAACAAGTTTCATTCTTCAAAAAAAAAAAACATCTGAAATGAAGGTTTGTTTCCGCTCATAGTTTGTGTGACAGCTCACCAGAGTGGATGCTCTCAGTGATTTTTATAAGCATGGAAAAATCCAAGGTTTGTGCCATCATTAAATTCTATATTTTGAAAGGAAAACAACTATGTGGGTCAAAGTCAAGTTTGAATGCAATTCTTGAATACTATTTTTCTTAGTACAGTACAGCGGACGTCCAAATAAAGTGGCGCAAAAATGATACCAAAATTCCACAAAATCATAGACACCGATTAAAATTGCGAGAGATAGCAGAAACAGTGGATATCTGTTCTGAACGTATGCTTAATATCTTACATGGACACTTGGGTATAAAAGAAAATGTGCGATGGGTACCACGATTGCTCACACTGAACTAAAAACAACGCTGAACGGATGTTTAATACTTCTACCAGAGTAGTGTAACTGCTGTCGAGAAACTCTAGTCAAAATATATCGAGATAAAAAGAGACTGTATTCATAGTAGGATCTTATATTTAATACCATCTTAAATTAATTTTCAGATGTTTCGCAGCCATTGAAATACAGCATCTGAAGATAAAGTTAAAACGGTCTTAAATATAAAACCCGACTATGAATATCGGTTTATATTAAAAAATAAATACATGTTAATTCAAAAAATTGTTTCGCTTTTCGTTTCGGATACTCATCAGTTGTCTCTCGTATGTGGAAATGAACACATAAAAATATTTTCCAATGTACCTACCTCCTATATAAAAAGAATATTATACAGTTCACTATAGATAATTCTATTTCTTAAAGTTATATAAATGATATATATTTTTTAGGAAATGGAGCAATTAAATAATCTCACCATTTATAATATGCCAGAAATGTCCGAGGTAATAACATCTTTTCTTTCGGGAGGAGAAAAACAAAAGTCGAAAGCTGTGAAAGCTACAAAGAAAAGACAATAATCGTATTGTCTATAGATAATTGTGTGTGCGTGTATGTTTAGTCTTTAAAAAACCCCTTATAAAAGATATATTGATGTTTTATATAAGGCACTTTTTGGGAAACGGGTTATAACAGTTTGAATCGAGCCTTGTAGATTTGCAGCAATTAATATGCTCTACATCTTTAAATTACAGATCTATTAGTAGTTATGTAAAAAATACTTGTATTAGTTTGGTTGTATTTTAATAATTATATGCAGTGAGATAATTTTACGTTTCCTAATATTCACAATTTATAATTATGTAAATAGAGTAAACTTAGTAAATATTATAGCGATTAGCGATTATGTTGTATAATTTTCCTTCTATAAAGCGTAATTTGATATAAATTGTAGTACTCTGACGGAGGTTCGGAGTACGATATGTCTGTCGTCATTGTATACAAGAGTTTTCGTAAAACGATAAAAGAAATTACAGAACTAATATATTCGGCTCATTTTTAACATCAGTTCAGGTTACGTGATCGAAGTTGCCGCTGGATAACGAAAAACGCATGAGAAGGGTATAGCAGCATCAAATTTTGAACATTATATCAGTTCCACGTAATTTTTTTCTGAGAAATGAGTCATTTTGGAATAAATATTATAAAGTGATTAAGAAACGATATGGAAAAAATAATACCCACAGATACAGTGTGTCGCGTTTTCGCTACACGAAGTCTCCAAAGTCAAATTTAAATTTGCTCTTGGTTTCTGTCGGTCTTTAAAGCCTGATACACACGATACATTTTTGCCTGCTAAATCGTTTGCTGGAAAGCAATACACCAATCGGAACACAGCATTTTTAACATGTCACTAGATCTCACTAGGTTCAATGCGAAACAAACACCGTGTGTTGCGAGCTTATATCTGCCAGTGATGCCATCTTTAAGAAAGGCTCCAAAATTTTTGAAAGTGTACAAGACGTTATTGACAGACGATCACGAAACAGAAGTGCTTCTTATCCAATGTGTGTGTGGCGCTACAAGCGAGAGTCAATATAATTGTTTCAAATATTTCAACAGTTATCCGATACAAAGAAGAAATGGCTTCTTTTCCGTTATTGTTGTATGTATCGTTTCATACTGTTATTTTGTATTGTTTCACGTTGTTTTATCATTGTTTCGTTATATAGAACCTTACATTATGTCCTGTATTCTGAACGCGCTTACAGATGTTAGCGCGTTAACAAGTCAACGTTTTAGTAGTTCTGAATAGGAATTTTGTTGTGTAAACACGCGTAATTACCGACTTTTTCTAACAGAACACTGTTATCACCACGTTTAGAATACGAACGATACTGAAAATACTCACATTTCTTGTCTTATTAGCGCTAATATCGTTGTAAGCGCGTTTAGGGCCTATATTTTTACTACGACGAATGGACAGAGACCTAGTGAATTGCAACAAAGAAGGAAGAATGAAAGAGAGAGTATGTTCTTGGAACATTGACGATTCTATCGCTTGATAAAAAACCAGTTAGCGTCACTAATGTATTAGGTATGTTTTTTTAGAATATGACTAATCCGCATCTGGTCTAAATAGTCAGATGAATGTGGCCAATGGTGCTATAATATATATTATTCTCATCAAATCAGAATGTTATATCTGCACGATGTTCAGATTTTATTTTCAATGACGAGTGTACGTGTTTCTCTACTGGCTGTGAATTTTTAAATCGAATGTAATTCATAGGATCTATTCTAAGGTTGTGCCGCAGCGGTTGACGAAGAAGATGAGTATCGGTTCTACAATTGACGTCGAAGAGAAATGTCGATTCAATGGTGCGTGTCTTAACTCTACACCGATGGGAATTAATAAGATGAAAAAAAGCACAGGAGTAAAGATGAGCAATCGGGGTGTGTGATTCAGCGTTCGGCGATGCAGGGGCCGAAAGCAACTCGGTCGGGCGGCTGAGTGTACCTCCTTAGTTCCGGGAATCCATATTTCGCCGATCGAGCCTATATCGTGCTCAGTCTTGTCCGGCCTCGCTTTCCCCCGCCTCCTCATCTCCTTGCCTTGCCACGTCTCTTGCCTTGCTTGTGCAGATTTTGTTTCATTCACATCGACGACCGGATCGCGAGTAATATCACTCCGTGACGGTGTTACGTTACAACGGTAATTGTATTTACAGGAAGAGATCTAGTCGAAGGCATTCGTGAACAGTGAGAAATATGCATTACGTGTAATTCAGCTTGGTGTTTGACAGACAATGGAATTGTTCAAGACGAGAATGATCTAGTTGTGCGGAAAAAGGATAAATCTGGTAACTTTTTATTTATCAATACGAACCAATTGTCACGATCAACTAATGAACTGGCCCTAGCAACGAAAATCTTTGACGTCTCCTGTGTCAACAGAATTTTGTATACCACAATGTAAAATGACGACGAATCAGCAGACTACGAAGGTCGCATTGTTGAAGTTCCGAAAGATTTAAACTTAGAGCTTCGTGTCGCACTACCGGAAGTTTCGAAATCGAGATCGAAATCAGAATCAAGGTTAGGATCTAAATCGAAAGAAGTGGTTACCAAGAAGACACAAGTGTCTTCGAATCACAAAAATCGTTTTGTGCATACTCAAATGCGTACAACCAATAACCTCGAAATTGAACATGAAACTGTATCGAATAATAACGAAGAAAGCTCCACCGATGAGGATCGCTTGGAATCCAAACAGATTATGGTGCCATCCGGTGAATATCTATTCGGTGAATGACGGTGAAAGCTGCGTGTCAAAATACACCCACGAAATAAGTGACGTGTTTGACTGATTTCTCGATTTGATCTTTCAGATCCATCCAAGTGGAACTCGAGCCACATAGCCTCGTGGGTTTCGTGGTGCAGTCAGACATTTTCGATAAGACCAACGCCGATCGCCACGATACTTCCGTCGAACGGGAAGGATCTGCTGAAATTGTCTCTGCGAGATTGGCAAGAAATCGGCGGCCTGGGGGGAGGTCGCCTTCTGGCTCAACACTTGGGCCATCTTCGTTTACAAGCGACTGGCGTGCATACTCCCGATCTACTGCAGGAGAACGAAAACGGCACCGGTGAGTCGAGTCAGTGTTAATCGAAGAATGTAATAATGTCAAACTCGAGAACGTGTTTTTCTCTCTTCGGTCACTTTCTCGCTGGACGGTGAGCGTTCGAATCTCTGTCTCGGATCACTCGATCGCACGAAGATCTGAATCACCTTGAATATTACTTGAAAATAATATATTATAATATATATTAATAATATACTATATTATTAATTTATATTAGAAATATGGGTTACGACGCGACAGTAATTAACTTCCAGAACTAAGAAATTCGAAATTCCCGATAAACTCGCGGGAGATTTTGAAATTTCGAAAAATATTCGAAACTAATCGAGATTAAGTCATGCGTTCAAAGCGATTCGATATATCTTAAGGCTGATTCGTTCACTGCAGGGAAGTAAATTTAAAGCGCAATTCACGCTATAAATTAAGTGACCCATGGTAAAGCGTAGAAAAGGTTAATGGGGGTCTGGTCATGGATCTGTCAGGGTTCGATGGAGAATGACCGGAAGAGACTAACCGTTCCCCAAGGGCCGATCCTGGTCCGACTCGGGCTTATCTAAAGCTTTAACGATGGCTGAGATCTATTACAGATAAACGTGGTCCAGTAGAAAAGTAAATATCGGTATAGCCGGCGATAGCTCCGTCCCCGAACTTTTCTCGCCTCTCGATAGACCGATCGAAGTAGAAATATACCGAGATATAGTGCGCACGTTTCTCAACATAACATCAAGAATATGGTAATCAATGTGTAGTATCCACAGGCAAAGTTCGTCTTGTCATGCACTGAAAGCATCCCAGCAAGCGCCAATTAACGGTAACATAACATCAATGTTGTAATTTCCCACTCAACAATATAACTATTACATAACGCGCGTGTTATATTACATTTGCACTGTTGAGTGGGAAATTATAATATTGATGTTATTGTTACTATTAGTTGGTGTTTGCTGGGATCGTTCTATCTTCCTTCAGCGTATAATGAGAAACAAAGACAGAACGATGCTTTCAGCGCAAGAGAGTGCAAGACGAGCTCGAGCATAAAATTCAAAATATCGTAGTATTATAAACCAACAAACGTATGCAACGCAGAATCTTTCAATAACGCTTCAACCTTGCAAATTGCAGCGCGACGGTGCAAGGAACATCGTAGATACACGGAATTGCAAATATCTATCGATTCGATCGATTTTGTTCTCGCATGCTGAGCACTGAGCTCTCGAGCGAAACTCGTACGAAAACGGGAAAGCGTAGCGTCATCTCTTCGGATGCGAAAGAAGAAAAGCGAAGAGTAAGAAGAACCTAGTCGTGGCAGCGTAAGCCTCGAAGATATATCGTCTGTTTGAATAACGTTGTAGCTCTCTCGCTCTTTCTCTCTGCCTTTCTCTCACTCTCCCCTTCTCTCTCTCTTTTCCTCTTTCTCTCATTCTGTATGTGTGCGTGTGTGTCGACCCATCTCGCCCCGGTAGCAGCCGTTTATTAAACGAATCAGTGTTATCGCGGTGAGAGAGTCCTCATGAATAAACCATCGAGTGTTTAGGGTGGCGGCGCAAGGTGGTGCGACGCGGGGTTACGAGCTCGCTGCGACCGCTTTTACCCCTCTTTCTGCTCTCCTCCAGGGGCAAGCTCTAACGGGGCTCGGGGGCGGTAAGCTCGCCGCGGGGCGCGTCTATATTGTTTTCGTGATGAGCGGGAGACATTCGCCGGATCTTCAATGTATACGGGATAATTTTACGCGTCGCATCTTCGCCTTCGTATCTCGTGCGAACTCTCGCGCGTAATACGCGTATGATACGCGCGCGAGAATCCGCGAGATATGCGATGACGAGCGCTTATCATCGATTCGGCAACTTGCGATCGTGCGGATATTATTTATACGTCTCCCTCGCCAAGGGGAATTCCACAGAGAGGAAAGAGAAGGACAGACAGAGAGAGAGAGAGAGAGAGAGAGACGGTCACGTTGCGTCGGTTTGTGCCTCCGTAAATGTCAGATGGAATAATTCTGAACGTATGCACAGGTTTTTGCGGAGATGCGATGTTTTGGATAGCGATGGTCGCGCAAAGTCCATTTGCACGAATTGCGAGGGGATCTCCATACGGGGTCGTCACATCGTTCAGTCGGTACTTTCAAACTGAGCCGAGAATATGCCGTTAAAGAAAGAATAACGCTGCGAGTAGCCTCGTCTCCTTCTTCTCCCGCTGCTCCCCCACGGATCGCATCGTATCGTCCGAAGTATCGAGGAGAGACATTAGCGTAAATTCCCCGTGCGAAAAGGAAGCGAAAGAAGGATCGTGACTGCTGGTAAGTGCTCTAAGCGCGATACGTCAGAAGGGAGAGAGGGGGATGTAAAGGTATTCCGTTCTTGCCAAGACCAAGAGTGGGGGCGATAAGGGCTGAAATAACCAGGGGCAAAGGTCGCTCTCAGTCGCTCTCTGCCCACAGACTCGCGAGTTTTATTCCAAATGCGTCCCACCATCGACGCGGTCCGATCGACCGGTCGATTGACTCCGCTTGCTCACGCGTGTGCGTGAACTCTCAGCGCGAATACCTGTGTGAATACGTGTGTCATCGAGAGCCGGCCGGTGAAATGGGTTCCGGCTAATTAACACGTTCGTTGGGGAAATATTCTCGCTGTCGACGACGACGACGGTGGCGGACGCGTCGTCGTCGTGCGCGATGAAGTTGCTCGCGCTGCGCGATCGTACGACGAGCCTTTGTAAGATCGTCATTACGCTGTCGTAGCGCGATACGCACGCTCTTCCTCTTCTTCTCGAATGACAAAGGGGATCTCGACGGACAGAGATTAAGAGCGACGATCGAATAAAACGGATTTCCGATGCGCGTGACCGCAGAGATGACGACGGGCCTGTCGCACGCTGGTTTGCGAAAGCGCCGCTTATACGGCACAGAATTAGGCTGAGGTGGTCACGACATTCGTCGCGTAATGTGGAGAATTCAGACGCATCCTCTACACCTTCAGCAGGACACCAGATTGCATCCCTCGACCGCTGCGATTCTTTATAACGGTAAATTCGTAGGAAAGGGGATTAGCGAGTGAAAGTAATAAAAAGAAAGAAAGAGGGGAAAGGAGAAACGTCGGGAACATCGGGAACGTGTTGCATGTGATGTTATCGTTATTTGTCTTTTCAGGATGACAATTAGGATATTGCGGAGGCCAACTGACTGTTATTTGGAAAATAACACGATTCGCGAGAAAACAAAACAAAAATTTACGTTAAAAAGATCTAAGGGTGCTGTTGAATGCAATGCTCAACGAAGAAACGCAAAGTGATCGTAACGGTTTCACAACAGCATAATTATTTTTCAATATTTGATATTATATAATATATACAGGATGTTCCAAATCAATATGGACGAATTTCGCGAGGACGGTTTGAGGTGAACGAAAAGTCCATTTTGCAAACAAGCAAAATTTCGAGTTATTAATTTTTGAAAATGGACATGTACAGATACTTCTTTAATTAATAATTCAAAATCTTACGTGGTTATTTGCAAAATGGTAAAGGACTTTTTTGCTCACAGTTTAACCCGTTTTTCACACGAGTGATTGACGAAAAAGTTCGAGACACCTTGTATTTTGTTTCTAACGCAGAACCGTTCGATAAGATAAACGTTTTCTCTCGCGACGCTAAAGTGAAATTGAAGGAGAATGAAAGCGGGACGTGTCTCCAGCTGACACAATTGAAATGGACGCAAAAAGCATACGTAGAACGACAACCAGCAGACATAATTATTTAATTCCGGTAACATCCCAATTGTCCCACAACCAAGAGAAAACAATAAAGGAATATGATTTGTGATAAGGCAGATGTACCCAGTAAACACGAATTAACAGTAAAGTTACATCAATGTTATAATTTCTCACTCAACAATGTAAGCGCGATATAACATGCATTATACATAACAATTAAGCTTGGTTTACACTGTGCTCTTTGCGTCTTGTGCTCTCTATCTTTCTTCTGTAAGAACATCTATTTACTTATGAAAAAGAGATAGAAAGCAAAAAACAAATAGCACGTTGTACATTAGGCTTAAGTAACACTGGTACATTGTTCAGTAGGAAATTAATATATATATATGTATATATATGTAATTGTTGTCACATATAATTGTCGTGATGACTGTTAGTTGGTATTTACTGGATAACGACGTTTGCTTCTCGATGCGAAGGGGAACAAAAAGGTGGGATATATTGAAACATCGGATTGAACTTTCTCTCACACGCGTCGGTCGAGTCCGAGTCATTGCGTAATGACGATCACAGCGAACGATTTCGTGTACATGACGGAAGATCCGCGCCGATGATGATGAGACGAGGGAGTGTAAGTGACCGTGCGGGTACAAAAGTATCGTGAGTGAGAAAGGCGAATGTGCCGGAGAAATCGCGGCGACCATCGCTCTCTTCTCTCTCTCACGGGACGAAGCGATTGCGACCTCGCGGCCCCGTGAACGGGAACTTGGTGCATGCGTGTTTCGTTTTCTGTCGGCAGAAAGGTTCAGCCTCCTACAACGGACTTGCTCGCTCATTGGGTCGACGGCTGGAGCAGGGGGTTCGGGGGCGGTCGGAGGCGGACAGGTCCAGCTCTGGCAGTTCCTGCTGGAGCTGCTCTCGGATTCGTCCAACTCTTCCTGCATCGCGTGGGAAGGCTCGAACGGGGAATTCAAGCTCACCGATCCGGACGAAGTCGCGCGTCGATGGGGCGAGCGCAAGAGCAAGCCCAACATGAATTACGACAAGCTGTCGCGCGCGTTAAGGTAATTCAATAAGCGGATGCCGAGATATGATGATGCAATCGCGTAATTTATCCGTCTTCTGCTTTTTTTTTTTTT